CATTTATCGTAATTTGTCGCTTTAAGTGTAAAGCGCGTATGCACAAATTCTGCAGTTTCGGTCAGTCCCAGCTACATGAACTCCTTATACTGTTAAGGTCAATGATCTGAATTCAAACAGATCGTTCTTCGAATTTCTGGAAGTTTCTCTCTGCTCAATCGCTGTTTAATGAGTGCCTTTTTCACCCTTCAAAAATGCTTATGATGGAACATCGAAAAATCGTACAAAAACCCTCATTATGGAAGAAGTCACTCATTTTGCCGCTGCAGGAAAAATCATCATCACTTTTCTGTCTACTGTGGGAATATGTAGTCGCTATATGATTTGTCTTGTTCCTTTAAAGCAACAATTCCATATCGAATTCGCGGGGTAAAAATGAAATGAAATTGTAGATGGCGTGACTGTTATAAGGAACAAAGCGATGGAAAACGCCGACGAAGTTCTAAAACAGATCCCCTCTTCCTCTCTGAAATGAGGGGAGGGGGGGTCGGACGAGTTGTCTGAATTGGCTTGCATTTCTTGCTGGCTCGTGCCAGCAAGAAATGCGGCTGCAATCGCATTTGCCCCAACACAAACAGAGACAGAGACATATGCATCAGTACAAACAAAAAGATAATAATTAAATGATTTAAACAAGTAAAACCAAGTCAAAAGACGCAGCATTAATTTCGAAACGCGGGATAGTTACAAGCAATCGCGCAAGGACCCGCATCCAAGCAGCTCTCCACAGCTGCAAGTGGGCGTTGCAACCGGGGCCCGGTTGCCCCGCCTACTTCGAGAGCGTTCGACTCCCTTCTAGCAACTTTCCAAGGTGAGTTTTTAGTTCAGTGACACTTCTTATGTACTTGACTAGGGCTAGTGCATCTTTCCACCCCATTAGAATCGAATGGTCAAAACCCTGCTGGGACTGTTGCTTTAACACGCGGTACGATTAGGAGGTACACGCGAGAGAAGGATTTTTGGCTTGAACTCAAAGCGTGCTGTGACACTTTGGCATGGCAGTGGTCTACATGATTCGAAAATGCGATACCCCACTGACAATGAACATTTTTATACTTCTGGTTTTGAGGAATCCGAACAGAAAGGTAGAGATTTTATGTTAAAGAAAATAGAAGACTCAACAGTGAAAAAATGCTGAAATTCACAATATATCTGTTTCGTGCTGAGCCCTGCATGCTTACAGCGCTCGCGATGAGAGTATGACTGATGTTTGGATACGGGTTTTTCTACAGCAATCTGAGATTCTAAACGTCCTGAGCGACACTCTTATGTAGATAGTCATTGACTAGATGCGCGACCACATGAAAAACCAAAAAATTATGGCTAAGAGCGTCATATATGAAGTCGAACTTTGCTTGACAGGCGGAACTGTACGTGGGCAAGGCTCCTGGAATGGGTGCTTCCTCCGGGACGCCAGAGGACGCCAGAAGCTGTGTGTTGTTTCGTCGCCTACGTTACACGCTCTGAGCCTCATCGTGTTCATTCCTCTCCTCGAGAACCTCGTCAGATAATCACTATGCCACATTTTCTTATCACATTTTTTCATATTTATTATAATCTCTAACGCTGTGGATCAATTCTAATAATTGTATGCATTCGAACAGTTATTACTGAATGATTGGTAGAAATCATCCTTACCTAGGCTGGATCAATAGAGGAAGACCGTCGTTTGGGATGATTGTCGAACGAGAAGGAGTAGAGAAACAGAATAGAGACGTTGCTGCGACAATACTCACCGCGTGTGCTATCACGAGAATTTGAATTTTGTTTTTAGAAACTTTTCTCAGCACAGGTCCAATAAAAATGCCTCCTGAAAATCCCACCCTTTCTTGTGCCTGAGCAAACGTGCCCGTGGATAAAAACTGTCTTCCATTTATGATTCTGGTCTGTTTTTGACTTCACTTGAAATAAAAATAGCGTACCTGCCATCTGAGCCAATCCAATAGAAACACTGTAGACCGCGATCAGATCTGTGTCTCTTGCGAGAGAGGCCGTGAATGTCAAAGAAGTTGGATAAACGTTGAGAATAAACGAGATAAGAATACCAAAATAGAAACACGTTGTGCATAGTAGTATAATATTTGTATGAGTGGCCGTTCTCACAAGAGCATCTAGAAGCATGAGATGAGGGAGCTTTAGTCGCGAAGTGCGTATCGCTTGGCTCGCTTGAGCTGGCTGGCATACTACTCAGCAAAAGACACAGCGGTTTTGACGATTTGGGTGTTCGGGCCTGGAGCGATGGATCACGTCACTGGAGCGCATAAGCAGTTTCCGCCGTCGTTCACCATCCTCTTTGTTCCCGGCTGTTACCAATTTGAGGGTGAGAGATTCTACGATTTCTTCTGAAGCCTAATATATCGTATGCTCCAAGAAAACGATTTATTTGCAGTGATTGGAACACTCCTCTTTCTTCCATTGAATGTTTCGCTATTGGTTCTCAAAAGCTGTGAGCCTTTTGTGGGATATACTTGGGCTCATTAGTGAAGGAAGCAGATCCTCCGGATGGCCAGAAAACCAAAAAATATGTCCAAGACTTTGTCCTTCATCTTTTTTACGAGTGTTACTATGTATTAGAATAATGTAGAAGTTAAATTTTAAATGAGCTGCGCTTAGCTTAGAGTAAGTTGCGAAGCTGGTTCAAACTCACGAATCTGCGTCTTCAAGCTGACAATAGTTATGGGCGAGTCCAGAGCAATGCTGTCAGCTTGCTGGCGAGACGGCATGAAGGCGAAGATGATCGCTGAGAGGACTGTCAATACGAAAAACATGCCATTGATGGCCTAAATTTATGCAAAATCTCAATTAGTACAGGATACAGTGATTAACAAAGAAAGTCAAGCTCTCCTGAGCTACCCCACCTCTATCTGAGAATCAGAAAAATCACGATACGTGATAATAGTGTCTTCGCGTTTTTCTGGGATTGAGTGAAACACATAAAAGAGCACTAGACCTCCGAAGAACATGCTATAATGAGAGAATATCTTTGATAGTAGTATTGTGGAGTTTGACCATGATCTTACTGTCACTATCATTCTTCATTCCCTTTCTTTCTGCCACGCATGTTACGGGCGGAGGAGGTGTAGCAGCTCTTACTACGCATGAGCTGTGCTCACGTTTAAAGTAGGTCATGAAAATCCAGTTCGGTAAACTTTATCCCGATCACACCCTGGATCCCACGAAGTCTAGTCCACTAACCCTTGCATCTGGCAACATACCGTTCTTCCGCTGACGGCTCACAATTTCAGGAACTTTGAAGTAAATCTTAGGCAAAGGCTAGGAAACCAATTTATGGTCCATCTGTATGCTATTTTATGTGCAACCTACCTGCTGTGACCGACAGCTGTTTCGATAGCAGTGTTTGATTCTACCGTCTTCCTAGATGAATGTTCAGCTATGTACGCGCCTTCTCCATTATTATACACTGGAATAGCTAAAGTGAAAGTGTTTTGTGGTGATCGGCTGGCTTATAGTTAGTCTGGGAACTGACCCAGCCTGAAATTTTCGAATTGTGTGGTAATCTGCGATTGGTTCATCGCCGTCTGCACCCCACTGCCAACGTAGTACCGCATTTCTCTATTAATCGTGCTATGAGAAGGTTCTTGTGCACTCACCCATTTAGCCAAGACCTCCACCCTGGGATTAGGTTGTTCGTATAGATTCGCATGTAAGGAAATAATTGTACGTCGGCGTTTTGTTGACGTTGGCGTTGAGAAGCAAGTCAATTTTGAAATTGAGGAAAATCGAGATAAACGCCAAAAGAGTAATCTTCTACGGATCTATACGCCAACACAAGGTATATGATGATAGGTGATTGGACCTTGCTTGCTTAGATGAAGTGTTATTTTATGTATCATGAGGCAACACTCCAATTCTGCTGCGAAGCGTGCTATAATTTTGTAAGTAGGTGACAAAAACTAGAAAATGTTCACCGGGCTTTCAAGAAAATAAATCTAATCAAAATATAGCAACATACATGAATACGCAAATCCCATCAATAGTTGAGTGAAGTAGAAAAAATAGCGATTAACATGGAAGAATCCGAGGTAATAGAATGAAAACAGTACAGCGCATGTGACAAGAGTCCACTTTGATGCCACATAATGTTGTAATGTAGGGGCGATCAAGCACGCAAGTCCGAACACTGATTGATGAAACGCTTGCCTGAACTGACGATTATCTGCTAATCATTTAACAATGAACCTTGCTTTGGGCAATGTATTTGTATAGTCACGCTTTGCGTTGCATACCGTTTTGAGAGCCCAGGTATCTCGTCGTTTGGGCCTGAGCGCGCAGACCAACGAGTTCCCCGCACTCTCTCGGATTAGCCTAATGGTACCTACGTTTCGATCATGGCTTGAACCAGGGTAGGTTCACGAATGTTACTGTTGCTGTTAGTGCGAGTTTTGCAAAAAGATGGTGGTCAAAATCACGATAGAGATTGTTCCGCTGATTTTGTAATGTTGTTCCATGACAAAATCGTATAAATGATCGATCGTTGAATGCTTGATCGTTGGCCAGTTCGTAGACAGCACTGTTCAAAGGAATGCGCCGAAAATTTTGATCCATTTTGGGACAGCTAACATAACTTCATGCTATGATTTTCTTTTACCAACTAAACTCTAAGTCGGAAAATATGAGCACTCACCCATAGTATCCGGCGTGTTTAGATATCCTTTGAGGATACCGAACGTGAACGGAATGTATGATCGATTCCGCAACGAAGCGCTGGGTAAAGTATCCTACATAGAGACACAAAGTGCCGAAGCCTAGCAGAGAAATACACAACAACTCATGCGATCTAGATAATGCCCTCATCGCTGTTGTGAAGTACAGTCTCTGGACTCGGTTCGCTTAGTAAATGTTTTCCCTAAAGATGTCATAAAGTTAAGGCCAGGTGAGCCTATGTGTATACGTTGGACAAACATACCTTCAGCGCCAGGAAAGTGCAACAAAAAAGGACAACAAATGTCCTGTAGAAAAAATTGCAGCGAATTAGGACACCGGCCAAACCATCCACAGAAATGAAAACATGCGAGGGTTGTTTTGTGAAATACGAGCACTTCGACAAAATGCACACACCATCTTCTTAAGAATCTGCTATCATAGCTATTTCCTATACTATGAAAAATTGCTATTTGAAATTCTTCGCAATCAAATGAAGCGGAAGAAAAGAACATAAGGGGTTTGCGTATCTCGTCACTCTTTGCAGGAACGCCATCCGTTCTTCCTTCCCGACCTGATTTCATAATTGTGTTTGCGAAAGATATCAAGTCCTGCCACGGGAACTTTCCTATTAGGAAGAAACTCACAATCACAAAGAATTCCGTGATGCCTCTCGAAATGGAGACTACACTGTGTGCAGCACCTAAGGACGAGATCGATAAATTGACTAACTTATTAACAATTAGATGGAATTGGATGAAACTGTGCGGGCATAATGCTAGAAGCCCTTACAGTCATGGGCACCGAAGTGGGCCTCATATGTCTTGCATCCGGCTTCAATCTGGAGCCTAAATGGGGTGGCCACCCAGAACGATGGGTATCGTGGGGCAGGACAAGAGGGGTGTACTAAGCAGGGAGAAGTGACTGTGGAATGTAGTGGTGTTCTTGATTACAGCAAGTCTCAGACAACACTAGGGTGATTTCACGCGAGGAAGAATCACCGGAAACTGGAAGAAGGAAGATTGTAACGAGTGTGGTCCAGGAGTTTGATGTTGCTCACACCATTGTTTTGTGCGCATGGAAGCAATATGGACGCAGCCACTGCTGCCCCTAGAAGAGAGGTGGTGGATCACGAACAACCGCAACAGCAGGTGATTGCTAGGTTTTGCAACAGGCAAAATGGACCCACGTCAGTCACATGCTGCAGTTGCAAAAACATTTATCAGGATTGTAAGGCACGTAATCCCAGCCTGAACAGTGGCACAGTGACCGCATAGGGATGGTCTCTCTGACCGACCAACAGTACCTGGTGTTCCTTCGAAACCGCGCATCGGCGGGAACATTTGCTAGGTGGCGGGATTGGAGATGAACCACCAATTTGGAGTCCTGCGTGTTCTTCTAGTTGAGAGCAAATTGGATGTGGGTAGTGATTCTGGACTTAGTCGCATATGGCGGGGAATAGGAACATGTAATGTACCCAGGACCATCGTTCAACATGATTGTTTTGATAGTCCAGGCGATATGGTATGGGGAGGCATAAAGTTGCCGGGGCATTCTGACCCCCAACGCTCCCGCTAATCTCTCGTGCACCTTTCAGGGGTGTGTTCAACGTCAACTTCAATCGTATGGAGAACAGTATGCGAGAACACCAAGCAGTTTAGGTGGGGAACTCTTGGAAAGCGAGGAACTTCGGTGATTGCTAGAGCCTGTCCGCTTCCCTCAGTCAAAGACATTATGGAGCACTAGCATTCAGGAGAGCTGCTGTAGCGTACCTCCATGCGCCAGCATTGTCCAGCAGTTGTCAATCGCGGTGTTCAAGGAATGGAAGGTTTTTCTCCACAAGAACTCCTAAATAACCATGTGGACAGTATGGGGATCATGTAGCAAAGCATGCTTCGCAGTCCGTAGTGTTCATACACTTCGTCAAAAACCAGCTCTTCGCTGAAGGTTGACCATGAATCGGGGTAGCTTCACCCATAAACCTGCACCAGTCACTGTCTTTGAAGAAAAGTGTTTTTTCCAATCGTCCTCATTGCGCTTTTCTGTTCAGTAACTCTCTGCACTGTACCTGCAACATTTACTTCTATATATGTGCCAAATTTGGTCCACCTAGGTTAAGCTAGCAGTGAGATATCATGAGTTACTAATAACGTTACTACGACCTTTAGTTTTGCATACCAGTGTACGAAAGCTGTTTTGAATAACCCATCGGGAAAATCTTTCCAGTCGAAATCAAGGCAACATTTCTTTTTACTTCGTGGAGGCTTACACTTGGAACGACTGGTGGAAGCTGAAATAGTACAGTGAAAAGAAGCATATGTAAAACACAGATCATGCCTTATTCAGGCCCACCAAACCTTCCATCTTCTCGGCACTTGTTTACCACTTCATGATGAATTGTGGATAGCAAAAACACTACTCACAAAATCTAGAAAGTTCATCTTGTCAACACTGTTGAGCCCGCATGTACTATACGGTGCTAAAATACAATTCTGAATGAAATTCGAATGCGTGGCGCTCCCGAAAATAAGCGGGAATGATCAACGTTAGGTTATGACCTTCGAAAGGAAGAACTGCGCATTGGAATCACGCGAAGTACAGATTCCAAATCTACTTAGTAATTTCGAAACTGCCAAATTTTGAGTACGTTATGTGTATTTGACGAGTTTTACTTCACGCGCCTCCCTTCGCCGGCTGTACTTCCCATGCAGGAACTGCATTCACTAAAGCACCCATGCGCCAGCAATTTCGCGCGCTGCATAAAGGCAGAAATAAGCCGTCAAGAAAGCGGACTCCCGCTTGAGTGTTATTTCGGTTCAAGGACAGGCGGCGGCCAAGAAGGTGAACCTGTGGACGAATTCATCGTAACGCATTTGATGACACCATACCAGTCCATGCTCCAGCTATGTCGCGACCCAGCTCACCCAAATCACCAACTAAACTAGTGAGTGCAGCACTTAGGGGGCGCGGTAACTCCCAAGTACTGCTCGGCAATCAAGCGCATCTTTGGTCGTGAAAGTGCTACATCTCGTTTCCTTGGCAGCCATGCTACTGCTTCATATGTGAAAAACAGCCACAGCGCTCCCTCTGTATCGTTATCGCTTCCTTTGAATGTAACAATGGAGAGAGCGAGGGTGGGCAGAGGGGTCGTGTCGAGATCCCTTTGCAAAGGAAAGGCGCGACAATTTTCTGAAGAAGCACGAACGGAACGGTTCAGGCCTACTTTGGTCAATTAAAACGCTGAAGCTTATTTCAAGCATGTGTTATCACGTCGAACGAAATCAAAGATCTACGATAAATATCTTATATTGCTACCATTAATGTACATTTTTGATATGTCAGTTATGGCCTAGCAACGGTTTTATGGGCAGTAGGACCACGAAGAAAGAAAAGAACTGAGGTAAATACACGACATCGACTGCTTAGGCAGGGCTTCTAAGCTCGAGACTACTTGCTGGCCGGCGTGAATGGCTGTTACCGCCTCCGCATCCGGGCACGCTAACGCATGCTTGCGAATTAATCATGATCACGTGGAAGAGTTCGAAGAATGTAAAGGTTCGCAGCACCAGACCGGTGCCAAAAGAAGGCGAAATTTTAACCAGGTACGTCAATGCTCGGTAGCAAAACTGCCAAGTTTAGAAGAAGCCTTCGACAACCACAGTGCTAATACGTAAAATCACCATTGCAAAGTTACTCTACCCAACGAATTCACACAAAGATACATCACAACATGGAAGAACAGATCAAAGAGTTTTGCTTTCACAATGTAAACATTACAGACGTCACTAAGGCACAATAAGCATGAATGGTCAAAGGAAGACGATCGAACAATACATTCGGCATGAAAAACATACTACATAATGAACGGATTAAATCCTACGATTCCTAATAGAATTAGAGAAAATCACCCACGATCACTCCGTTAATCGAATCGCTCATACATTTCCAGAGTTTCGATTTTTCAGTAGAGTGAAACACTGATCACAAACCCTTGCCGGCTTCGAATTCGACGGCAGCTTGATTCTCCCTTCGCTACATGATGCACAAAATATTGACCCACACATTCTAAAATTATGAAAAATTGACACAGCTGATTGCCCAGAGCAATGTCCTCGGAAGCTCATATGGGAAACCGTCAGGGATCACCCTCTATAAACAGTGCCTAGGGCTAACACTATCAGCTACCTCTGCACTTACCAGGGATGTGTTTCAAACTCTAATGGAAGCTTGCATTGGAACCTAGATTGAGAGTAGGGATGATGGCTAGAAATGCGAAAACCAAAACTGTACGTAAACCTGCCAAGGAAGTTTAGCGATCAAAGTGGTCCTAAGTTCAATTCCCCGTGGTAACAAAATTTTCATTCTAGGTTGCCGCTTGCAGATTGATGCCAAATGGCGCCTGTACCAGTAATATATGTCTCCTGATCAGGACTCAAAACCTTGCAAGTAGGCTCTTCTCGAATATCGTCGTATCAACGCTGCACCAGCACCTAACTCTGATCGCTCACAAGTTCCTTGGCAAGTTCGCGTAGCAGTTTTGCTTATCACACTCGAACACTTTCCTGGTTAGTGCCCAAATTTGATTGAAGAGCATTCAGTTGTCTTCAGTGCACTGTATCCATCCCTTTCAAGAGAATCACGAATGGCGAGCTCCTTCATTCTCACTCCACCCCTCCTCATTCCATTCCAAATGAATTTCTAAAAAGTGATCAATGACGAATGGAGGGAGATCCACTGGAATCCTCTGCGATCGAAGGTGCTCCAGAACGCTCAAAGGGAAGGTGTACCGAACAGTGGTAAGGCCTGCGATGCTCTACGGCAGCGAGTGCTGGCCCCTGAACAAGAATCACGAAAGGCAGCTTCACTCTGCTGAAATGAGGATGCTGAGATGGGCCTGCGGCTGGACGCGACTGGACAGGGTCAGAAACGAGGATGTCAGAGCGGTCATGCAGACTGCCCCTGTCCAGCTGAAGGTGAGGGAACAAACTGCGATGGTATGGGCACGTGCTAAGGAGGCCACAGGACCACCCGATAAGGAAAGCAATGGACTTCGAAGCGCAAGGCAAGCGACCGCGAGGAGCCCCAAAGAAGAGGTGGAGGACGTAATCAAGAAGGACCTAGTGAAGTGAAGTCATGGCCACAGCAGAAGATGCCCTAGACAGAGCGAAGTGGCGACGACTGATAAAGACAGCGGACCCTGCGACTGCGCGGGACTAACGCTAGGGAGAAGAAGAAGAGAGAATGATGGTACTTGCCCTAATTTTCGCTGTTAAGAATCTTTCCTCATCCTCAACTCTATTTTAGACTCCTGTGCACACGGAGACAATGAATCTCGCCCGCTAGTAAAGAATGGGGAACGAACACATCCATCAGGGATGGTAAGTATGCCTCGTTTTTCTTGTGGCTTATTTTTGCAGAGCTAGCGCGGTGGCTAATCAAATTCGTCCAGGCCAACAAAACTCTTCGAAACTTTCAGGATCGATCCATGGTGGAACAAGCTTGTTAGGGGATAGAAACCAGGGGACCTCTTCTGTTCTCCTCCTCCCTCAATACTTTGTATAGGCTTCATTGCGACCAAATGATATGCGCATCTGAATTAACGGCGAATGTATGGCGTATCCTAAAGAAAGGGTTGACGATACCAAAAGCATCACCTCACAGCATATATTTTGGCTTAATTTTACTTTCACTCAACGTGCCAATTCCTTAAAGGGCAGGAAATTGCGATGGAGAGATAGCTCATTGGAAATAAGGGTAGAGGTGGCAGTGAAGCAGGGATGAAGAAGAGACCATCTGAAGACCCGAAACCCGAGAAATAGGACCCCTTCGTTGCCGTTGCTTTTGGCCATTGATGCGGGACTCTCGATCACTGTGCCTTTTTTCAACACTGCGCTCTCTCTGCTACCTAATCACTTGCCATGTACTGTGGTGAGTGATTAGATGTCGGTGGGCGTATCCCGTCAACCGCAAGGAAAGCGCCACGACAGATCGCCGAGGTCAAATCCTTCGCTGCCAGTCGCGCATCGGTCAACCTCGGGAGGCCCTTCGCTCTTACCATGAATTCCTCCTTTAAAGGAGAATTCCACGATAAAGTCAGAGCAAAGGGAGAAATATTCATGATTGAAAGCAGGCGGACCCCCAGTAAGTGCGGAACTATATGCAACTTACGCAGCGAAGGGTATACCCCAATGGCCTAGTAGGGCCACATTCGCGCCGGACAAAACCCAACAATTGCTGACTCTTCGCGTCTGACTCTGGCCGCCTCTAACAGGGAGAGTGCGTTAACGTTGATAAGGCAGCACCGCATGAGACCTGCAGGGTAGACCAGCAGAATCATCGGGACGAGAAAGAACCGCCAGTTGCTCGGACTTTTCTTGGTTTTTTCAGCTTGAATTCTAATGAGCTGATCTCTTATCGTGAACACCGCCTTCAAAGAAAACAGACTCCGCCGGATGTTCAACGCGTTGAAAGGAGTTACTGAACAGAATCTATGGCTATTTCTATGGCATTTGACTCCGATCGTAGGTCTAATCGGCTCACTCCAGAGTGACGCTCATTGTCCCCAAATCAGGCGGCTTATCTTCAAAAATAACACGGATTTCCTATTTTTGTCATCTTCAAGCTTTTCTTCATTTGGTTTTTGCCTGGATTATCGTATGCCTTTTGTCAGAAAGGACTACCTCTGACCAACAAAGCACAATCCCTTCGTTTTCAATATACAACGTCTTTTCGCCTCCTTCTCAATTACGATTCTAACCGTTCCCACCGACGACATTCGATGCAGGCATCTCTAGATTCCTCAACTTTGAACAGAAGTTTCCAATTCAAAAAAATGCCTCTGGGACCTTTCAATATGCGTAGTTTATGCACATCCCACTGTCCCAATGTTATGAAAAATAAGAATAGCCTGAAAAACAAACCGGCAATGGTGTTTACGCTTTGCAAGCGAAAACTTTTCGGAGCACGCAGTACACTGTGTGACGTCAGCGGTCATTCGCCCAATGGGCATCGGGAAGCGGTAGCAATTCCTCTGCTAGTTCCAACATGCGAAGTTTCGAACCTGAAATTGTTCTAAATTCACTACTGCAAACTGGACTTAGAATCCGCAATGGAAATACTCGCTCAAATGTCCTCCGCATTCTTTAGAGCAGTTCAGACGCGGTAACGCGCACGCTCACGGATCGTCATTCGTTCGACAATTCTCTAATTTCCTGAGTTGTATAACAATAAAGTCACAGAAATCGTCGAAGTGAAAATATATTTATAAAAACTCTCTTTAAGCGTCACCTCTTTCAAGAACGGCATTTCCTTCAATTCCTTTTCAAGCGAGTCAACCTTCCGTCGCAGAACCGACAATTCACTTTCAGCCTCAAAAATACTCCATTACATGTACCTGCTGTGACGAAATCGCTATGAGCCTACCTGAGCAAGAGCGTTCTGCTTTTTCCTGCAGGGCTCCAACCAATTCAGTGTGCTGGCCGTACTTCTTCTCAAGCTCGGCCCTAATTACTTCTGAAAAAGTTTTTACTCTGAATTACTCTTGAAAAACAAAAACAATCGACAAACAGGACAAATCAAGAGAGTTCCAAAACTATCCTGACCTAAGGTGTCGTTTTTGGTAGATAAATAAAGAGAAAAGCGAAAAAAAAAAATCTCAAAACTCTCACGGTCATTCTCGTTCCTTTTTTGAACATTTTCCTGCAGCATAGCATTTGACATTTCTAGATTCGAGATGGTTTTCTTCAAAAACTCGCTCTCTGCCCTCCGATCAATCTATAAAATACGCTTCTAATTTTGCGCCATCCTACAACAACTATCGACTAACAACAAACTGTTCTTCCACCAAGAACTCAAATTAGAAGATAGCTTAACAAAAACTTCTTTTGAAATGATAGCGATAGTATTCGCTTTGAACTATACTACATTCATCACAACTGTCTACAACTGTCTTCTAGTCACAAGTGAATGGATGCCTCTCGCCCAAAATTACGTAGTCTTCGACGAACACTTGGACGACCATTGGTTTGCGATCATCCTGCTTCTCCACTTCAGCAAATGAGCAAGCAAGTGGACAGACTGACACCAGAGTGAGACTCAGACGCCTTGAAGTCATTTGCGGGGCTGAGAGCATCAATCTAGGCCTACGTTGTCTCTCGTTGCAATAGAACTCCGGGCAGTACCGAACCTCGTAGGGGTACTGAATGCCTGGTTGCGGTTGCACACAATGGACCACTTCGCAAGCACTGGTAGGACCAAATGACGTCTGATGGATGTCATATTAAAGTCACGGCGAAATCCAAAAAAAAATTCTAAGAAACTGCAAGCATTAGATACCGCGGAAACATTGGTGATATCAGTTGAAGTATGTAATGATGTAATCCAACGATCGGGGAGCCTACTTCATGCAGCTATAGGAGGTGGTCGTCGCTGTCGAACTATATGTACCCACGAATGCCTCCGTATGCTGCTTGAATGCCCTTGGGATCAGCACTCCAAGAGACCTTTGTCAGGCCAGGAACCTACGACCTTCACACAGCAAACTTCGGCATGTGTTGTACGCGTCTACCTAGCAACCTAACTCGTGTGGATTCTATGATGGAGAAAGAGGAAGTGGAGGAGAAAGCGATATGACTTGCTTATCGCTTATAAAATCTTATAGAAAATTTGTAAGAGTTGATGTCTCTGACTTTTTCCTGGTGCTGCCGTCTAACACTAGAAAACGCCTCTAAGGAATTATCGACATCTACAGCTAGGACTCAATGCAGGTCAAAGTTTTTCAGTCACAGAGTACGAACATGTTTTAACTCCCTTTCACGTTCTAATATGCTCCCACTGAAGTATTCAACCTTCAAAAAGCACGTTGGCGAGTTTATATGACCTCACTGTTTGGTTGATTTACTTTGTTTGTTTTGTTTTGAGTTTTTACTGTGTTCACATGTTTTTCACAACATGTCAAATAAATAAATAAATCCCTCCTTGTACAATTCCCCCGTAACTCAAAGGGCACGACTCATCGAGCTCTGCGTGAACTGAAACCCACTGCAAATTTACGGGTACTGATGCAAAGGTTGTCAATTTCTTGAATATGTTCAACATCCACGATCATTGGGTCCTGGTACGCGGTTGGCCTCCAGGGCCGCAGTGGTCCTGGCGGAACTATTTTTGACAGACCCTCTCTTTTAACATACTGTCCATAAGAGAAACCATAAACGTACGAATTGTAGTAGAACTTTACCTCCGCGTATTGTTCTCGAATTCTTGACAGATCTTTTTCCAATTTCCGCCATTTCTCGTCGGCTAACTTCAACTTATCGTATAAGTCCGTATTGATCTTCTTCGTGTCTACAAGTTGCTGTTGAACAATTCGTAATGAATCCTCTCGCTCCACTATCTAAAAACAACTGTTATTTTCTGCATTAGCACCCCAGAGAAGAAACTTGCCTGTCCTAGTAATCGCTCTCGCTCTTCTTCCCACTCTTTTTCCTTACTTCCAGATGGTTTACTATCTTCAGCACGATCAATATTTTTGAATGAGACAAGCTGCAAACACCAATGAACAGGACATGCAACAGAGGTCACTCTATTTGATTAGGTAAACAAGATATTGTATGAAGTTAAGAATACTGCAGCAATGCACTAGCGATCAATCTGTAGCATTTGAGACTTTTGAAAATGTGAAAATGGCTGAACTGGGAAAGCTGACGGGACGACTAGGGTTTCCCTCATCTATCATAAGCACTTTCAAATTTTCTTCAAACGAATTTTTTGAGGCAGATGATACGATAAACTGTCGCCATCGGAATAAAGGTGGAAGTGTAAATGGAGAAAAGGTGAAGAAAAAAGCAATTTCAATAGCCTGAAACTAGCCGAAGGACAACAATTTTGCTCCTGGGCAGAGTTAGCAAACAACACAGAGCTCGTTATTACGTATTAGTTCCGAAAGCTGGCACCATGCCATTAAACGTCATGCTTTAATGATAGCGCACTACGTGGACAACCTATAATAAAAGATGGAGCCGCTGGAGATGAAATGCTCCTTCAAAACGGAAAGTTGGCAGCGACGATAACAGTACCAACATCCAGCGCACTGCTACTAAGGTTCTATGAACGCCGAGGTCGTGAAGAACACCGCCGCTAAAAGGACATTTCTTGGAGGCGTGGCTCCCACGACGGTAGCCTTCACCAAAAGCAGGCCTTGCCAGCGCACCACGGATGCGCGTCACGTTGGCAGTGCTACGTCTCGTTCCTCTGATGGGCGCAGTCTCCCTCTACAGCACGCATATATTTCCTTAGCCTCCCCTTTCCAACATCAAATTCATCTTACCACGCGGTATTTTGGGTAATCATAGTTACTTTACATAAGTGATCAGAATATTTTTCTTTGCTCACCTCTCGATCCATAACAACCGCGTTCTTATCGTGGCCATTTTCCAATGCACTTAGCTTCCTCTTCAAATTATCCACGTTACACCTTCAACAATTTAAAACAGCTACTTAAAATCGGATAAACAAAAACTGAAAGGACAATAAGCTCTTGTGAATAGACCTCACACGCAAGAAAAACAAAACAAACAAATGCCAGAGCTTCTTTTCGAATTTGCACATAATCAGCAGCACATCTCTTCGGCGTTATCGGGCCAATTGCTGCAGTCTATCAAATGAAGCGAAAAGAGATAGAGTAGAAATAATTTCTATTTGAAGTGACCGAGATGCGTTCAAAATCGGTGTTGAACTTTTACACTTGGTCACACATTTGACCAACATGAGCATTTACATGAGCTAATGTCTCTAGTCAGTAATTTTTTGACACTCAGACGAGTCCAGTGCAAAGTCAATTCACCAGAAAAAAAAAAACGGAAAATTTGTGCAGCTTTGAAATTTCAAAAGAAAAATAGCACTCACTGAAGTTGTCTATTCCTCTCTTCGAGATAATTATTCTGATCCAGCAGCATTTTCTTCTCTTTATTGTGATTAGCAGTTCCATTTGCAGAAGCCATATTTTCACCTTCGGTAGGGATAGTAGGTATACGGATGTACAGAGATAAATCGACGCTAAGCGGCTGCTCCTGTAAAATAGACATGGAGAATACGACATGTCTATTTTATAGAGACAGAGAGACATGTTGAAATGTACTTGTTTTTCTCGCATGACATGTCAAATGAACTGAAAAATGGTGAATTATCTTGCAATTTCCTTGTTAGAGGATAATTTATCGGAATGATGGGAGGACGTTTTGACTGAAGGCACATTTTACGATTTATTCAGATGTAGGTTATTGCTTATGAAAATAAAATAGTCTGAGTATAAGTCTGTCAGTGGTTTCAGCAAGCGTTAAAAAACCTAAAACCTAAAACCACATTGCTCATATACTGAGTGGGCGGATTTCACGCTCCTTAACGAGGAAAACCTTATTGGGTATCATCTATTCACTCCATTTCCCCGATATTTACCGTAACAATGGAGCGACCCACCAACGAGACTTCTGTGGAACAGGGGCAGACGGCAAACTCCGCCCACACGAACCCCCTGTGTAACTTCAAAGGTTTGTTGCACTTTTCTACTATTTCCCATCACAGGTGTACCGATGACTGACTGACGGTGACTCGCCATCGAACTTTTAAGAGGAATTCAACGGAATACGAATGCGGGCTCAACGATTTTCTTGGTAAATTAATAACAGCAGATATAAGCTTGGGAACAAAAGATGTTAGAGTACACATGTGTTTTGCGATAAATGAAGAATTACTGCTCGAAAGAATTGAAAAGCAAGATGGCACGAAAAAGAAATTCAGAACTGAGAGAGATCCCATAGTGATTATATATGGCATACCTGAAGGTGATCATGTTCAAGAACAAGATTGCAGTCCACCACTGACAAACCAAGCAGAGCTCCGGTAAGCTGCACGATTTCTTCTTGTCGTAACAGCGCCCAGTCCTCATAGAAAGTTCTTCAACACAAATAATAAGCAGATCACCGAAAATAATGAATTCAGATGAAAGAGACTTACTTTAGTAATGGAGAGTTAGATATGACTGTGTAGAAATCGAACAGCTTTTTCTGCATCATAGCAAGTCGGAGAAATGCGCGCAGGCGGGATATTGGGGTTCTAAATTGTTGGTAAGTTTATACAGTGAAGGATTGCTCAAAAAATCAAAACTCAGGTATGCAATCGCCACCATAAAGGTGGCATGTGCATCTTTTAGGTTGTATGCAGCAACAGGTCGCATTGTTTTGCATGTGACTTCAACAGAACCTCTTCAGCAACTCAAAGTATTATAATGTCTCCGACTAAAGAATTTACAGTGAAGTAAATCTTCTCTCCCCGTACAG